ATAAAATAAAATAAAATAAAATAAAATAAAATAAAAATAGAACTATTTTTAGATACGAATAAGATTTCGCCATAGATGAGCATATAGCACGTTCCTTTCAAAAGAAGTGGAGTGGAGTGGAGTGGAGTGGAGTGCAGTGGAGTGCAGTGCAGTGCAGTGCAGTGGAGTGCAGTGGAATGGAGTGGAGTGCAGTGGAGTGGAAGATTCGTGAAACGGATGTGAACAAGTGTACTGCTGGTACATCATACTGATGCTACTTGTACAAACACTGGTGGCTTTTTCACTTGTCAGTGTAAACCTGGTTACCAAGGCAATGGAGTGACGTATTCAGGTTTGTAACTATATAGTCATTCAAAAAAATATACAAATAAAACATCGTGGTTTGCCGGCCTCCAGCCTTCGTGAATAGACCGAAAGGAACTCTGGGTAGGAATTCATCAAGCGGGTGAATGCATATCAGATATGGTAAGATTAGATGCCAAGCCTGCAGCGTTTAATGAAAGAGTTAACCTGTTCTGTTCTGTAGGCGGCCTGATAAAGGTCTTACTTGAAATCTTAGTTTCTTCCTCTAGTAAAATAGGCTTTGACGACATTAATTATTTTCTTGACCATAGATGTGGACGAGTGTACTGCTGGTACACACAACTGTCATGCTGATGCTACTTGCACAAACAATGGTGGTTCGTTCACTTGTCAGTGTAAACCTGGTTACCAAGGAATCGGAGTGACGTGTACAGGTTTGCTTCTATAATATACACCTATTTCTGAAATCGTTGTCGCACCAAAAGCCTCAAGCACAACCCAAGACCGCAGAGAAAGCCGGTACTTTTAGCTGTAATTAGTTTTTTCATGGTGCATTTTCATTTATTGACTTCGCAAATTGCTCCAAGCAAAGTTGCTTGAGAAAATAATTAGTGTAGAGCTATAGCCACTTGCATGAACTATGAATAAATCAATTCCAATTAAAAGTACCGACGTTCTCTGCGGCCTTGGCTTGTTACTTGAGGCACTTGGTGCGACAACGATCTTCGAAATAGGTGTATAAAGGATGCAACAGTTCTTGATATAAGATAATGAAACATGCATAGCAAGAAATGTACTATTTGTGTCAACACTTCTTATTATCAAAGGCTGGGCAAAGGGAAGCAAACATCATTATAGCTTGCATTTACCCTGAAAATTCTTTCTTTCTTTCTTTCTTTCTTTCTTT